CTGATCCCCAACCTTTACCATCCCTCTCCCTTACTCTTCGTGATATGGTATATCTGTACTATTCTATAATTTGTCGTGAAATGAAAGTCAAAGTAGAGCATGAAGATTGTAAGCCAACAAAAATAACACGAAGATAATGTACGAATTAACCTAAAATGAAGATAATGAAGGACAAGAAAATTAATAGACAGCGGCATGGAAGAAGTTAAAACTTAAGAAATTAAAGCACGTGAACTGGTTCCCACTTTGACGACTTGCTGATTCTTAGTGGAGGCTGCAAGGAAGCTAGAGAGAGGATCGACACAAGGGCTGAATTAAATTTTGGTTGTTTGCCTTTTGATCATCTTGAGGCCTATATGCACATGGAACCTCCATCACACAAGTTGGATCTCTTTTTTTTTTTTTTTTTCCTATATTTCTCTTTCAGTCCATTAATTTGCTTTATATCTCTTTCACTCTCCTATATTTTTATTCTATATATTGCTAATTAAATAATTAAAGGGTCTATTCTACAAGAGGATTTTCTATTACATAGTATTATATAAATTAATCTCTCGCTATCTCTACTCTTGTGGCTTTTTTAGTGTTCGTCAGTCTACTTCCTAACTTTTGCAACTTGGATTATTATTAGTGGCAATCTATAATCCACGGCTCTCAATCGCTCAAATTTATATCGAACCAATAACCGACCCTAATTTTAACTTTACTTTCTCTCATTCCGGTTCAACTTAGGCTCAAACATCTACACCTCTCATTTCAGCATAAAAAGAATTTTCTCCTACAAGATAACACCTTTATTATATCATAAATTTCGACAACAGGCACATTGCAGAAGAAGAAGCTGACAAGAGATGAAATGTGATTTACAGTGACTAATTGATAACATTATTTGAAAATGAGACTTTTTCATTTTGGATAGTTGGAAGTACGTATGTGGAAAATGACCCTTCACCAAGTCACCCTCGAAAACTACTGCCATGCTTGGTTCCACTTGCCAAATAATGGATGTGGCATGTGGGAGATGCAGACAGCTTCTAAGAACATCAATGCCAAATAGAGGCTAACAAATAAACAAACAAATAAAAGCATTCTCCCTGTTTCATAGATTTAAAAATTGTTCTTCTCTTTCCGTGTGGCTTAAAAACTGATGTTTAAATGAGTCGAATTTTAAGTAAGAACATTGATAATCACTCGTGTGCTTGTGGGTCAACACCACTCACAAATTCACAATGAACAAGAATTGTAGAATAGCTCTATTTTGTTAAATTTCACATACACATACTAACGGCCCACTACTAACAACGCATATATTGTCAAAAACTTAACCACCTAAATAATCTAGTAGATGTGGAGTTTTATTACAAAAACCTCAGTGATATTAGTAGTGTAGCCATTCATTATATATTGTATTTATTTTGTCAAATTTTTGAGACTTTATATTCTTCAACATATTTGATCAACAAATTTAGTGTCCCTCAATTGAAATATAAACTTTGTAGTGAAGGCCACATAGACATGCACATATATAATTTTGTCATCTCATGCAAAAAAACTTATATGAAACGGAGATAATACTATTTTATTATTTTCGATCAATCACAAACTATCACGTGAAAAAATTATGATATTTGTCATATCATGATTGATCGCAGATAGCAAAATAGTACTATTCCCATTTCATGTAAATATTTCTCTCTCGCATCGCATATCAAGTCTCAATCATCCACATACCCACGAAACCACATTCGTCAAAACGACTTAAAACCAAACAAGAAAGAAATGACTAAAGAATAATAAACAGGATGTTAAATAAAAATATCTCAGCACATTGAAATGATAAATTTACCCGTCATGGAGCAAGTTGCCCGGCTCTGCGACAAAGAAGAGTCTCTGTGGGAGATCGAATACAAAACAAATCCTGCAATTGCAAAAGGAGGGGAGCTGCACCCATCAGAGTCCAGTCCATGACGTAATGCCCACGCCTTGGCGGTACAAAGCTCACCGTTGAATCGATCCAATGGGCCCATGGGCTCCACCCAGGTAATTGTGTTCAGGAATTGGGACCAGCTCAAGCAACGCTGGCCGTTAGTAGTTTCAGTGGCAAATTCGTTAATTTGACTAAACTCAGGGGGTTTTCAGAGTACAGAAACTATTACCGCGAAAAATCCTGCCATACTTTATTATCGAAGCGCCGGTTGTTTGGGTTGAGGGAAAATGGTTGGCGCGAGGAGAGTCAATCTCTGCCATCGGACTCCACCAACATAAAATCCGACGGCTCTAGTTTTGAAATGGGTCCCAGCTCCCATGGCTCCTTTTAAAGTTGGGCGTAGTCTGGTAGCGTGTGTGCAATTGGGTTTCGTCCCGCGTATATACGAAGAAGCCAACTTCCATTTCGTAGGACGTGTTTGACAATAATCACATGCTTGTAGAATAAACGCTTTTTTTGGGCGAAATTTGGCGCGCACACACACCCCCCAAAATAAATAATTTGAATTAAAATACGATTGCATTATCTTTTTAAAAGAGTTAGTTTAAATCTGTTTTAGGTAGACCTACACATGATGTTGTTTTTTGTTTAGAAACAAATTGTTAGTATTTTGTTGTTGCCAGAGTTAGGTTTTCTCGAATTTGTTATCCATCTCCTTAGATAAAACTACCAGTTATGGGTGTGAAAGAAATAAAAAAAAGTCAATGGTTGACCTGACTTACATTCCAATTGCAAAAAGAGAAATGCAAAGCTTCCTAAATGAATGTAGCAATTTGAGGTGCATACTAAATGGGACTTTTCTTTTTCCTTATTTCTAACCAATTTCATTGGAGCATATCACACGTGTGTAGGGAGAGAGTGTTGAGCTATTCTTGCGCTGCCAAACACGTCCCTGCAATACAACACCCAATTGTGACAAACGAACCACGTGCCTCACATCACTCTGCTTCATGCACAGATGATCAACGGCTCAGATCTCATCCTTACACCCTTCCCTCCATCCCTATATAAAATGTTCCCATGTGACTTCCTTCTACTACATCCTCAGCTCACCTCCTCAGCTCACCTCACCTGCAAAACACTCAATTCCTTCAAACCCTCATCTGTCTTCCCCTCCAAGTTCCAAAATTTTTATTTCAAATTCTGTCGTTTTAGGGTTCTAAAGGAGTCTGAGATTTGGGGTTTCTCAGACCCATATTTTCAAGAACAAGAAAAAAATGCTTCTAAGGAGCTCATCAACGCCCGTACTAAATTCATGGCTACCCCACTCCAAAGACTCATCATTTCCAGAACAACAACCCGAAATGGTGCCCCAAATCGCCAAAACTCGTTCCTTTGCCCTCTCGGCCTCGTCGCGCTCTCCTCTTACATTGTCGCCGATCAACGACTCGTCTAGGAAGATGACTCGGGCGGTCTCTGAGGCCGATCTTAGAGATCTCTCGCTGACGCCCAAAAGAAAGCCATTCAAAATTCCCTTGAATGGGTTCGAGGAGAGAGAGGAGGATGAGGAGATGGAAATGGCTTTTGCTACCGAGTTTAGGAGAACGGTGTCGTTGGGATTGGCAGAGGTGGAAGGGTGTGAGATCGGGTTGAGGGAGAACAAGGGCTTGTTGGGCGTTTTGGTTGGGGGTGGGGTTGATGGAGGCGGTGGCAAGATCTCTGGCGGTAATGGCGGAGGCGGTGGTGGATCGGACGATGGAGATGATGGGAGCTCAGGATTTTGGGATTCGAATAATAATGGGAATGGTAACACTGAGATCTATTATCAGAAAATGATCGATGCTAACCCTGGAAATCCCATGATTCTCAGCAATTATGCTCGTTTTTTAAAAGAGGTATGTTATATATACCAAAGCTTTGATTTTTATATCAAAATCTTTAATTTTAATAGAGAAGATTTAGTTTTTACAGAAAAAGATGTTTAATTTTTATCTAATCAATAGCTGGGTTTAATTTACTTTCACTGAAGCTAATGAAACGTTGTTCAAATTGCAGGTTCGTGGGGATTTTGAAAAGGCTGAAGAGTACTGTGGGAGAGCCATTTTGGCGAACCCAAATGATGGAAATGTCCTATCAATGTTTGCGGATTTGGTATGGCAGAATCATAAGGATGCTCCTAGAGCTCAGACTTACTTTGATCAAGCTGTTCAAGCGGCCCCTGATGATAGGTGAGGGTCATCTCATCTAAATGCCAGTAAAAATAATAATCTTTTTGGTCTGTTATTTGTTTGTTAAAAGGGCTCTGCAAATTAAAATTTTGACTGGGTTTTGTGGTTTTGATGGTGCAGTTTTGTTCTAGCATCCTATGCTAAGTTTCTTTGGGATTCTGAGGAAGATGAGGAGGAGGAGGAGGATTTGAAAGAAGGCGCCAACAACAGAGCATCGACACCCAATTTGTTGCAAGGAGTTCCTCCTTCACCCCCTCCATTAGCTGCTGCTGCATAAAGATATCTTCGGACTGCTGACCTTTTGTTTATACACTTATATATATCTTCCTGTTTTTTAACCTTTTTAGTGATCCTTTGGCTGCTGCTGTGCTGGGGTGAGATTGTGTAACTGAGACTGATCTGTTTTTGTTTTCAAGTTCTTTTCTAGTCATGTCTTGTAAAAGAAATGTAATCAAAATAAGTGATTAAATGGAATGTTTTGAAGGCATAATCTCCGTCTCTGTCTCTGTCTCTCCCCCATGATATTCTAACCCAGGATCTGCAATCTAAATTAGAGTCCTATCTAATGTTTCCATTTAATTTGGCACCACCATAGCTTGAAGAAATGGATTGAAAAGTTGGTTCCGTTAGGTTCGGATCAAATAATCCATGCATGAACGGTAGAAGGAAAGACTAGAGAGCGAGTTTTGAGGAAAACACTGTTTAAACACTGATTGTTAATAATAACTCTCCTCAAGCTCTGAATTGAAGCCTAAAAATGGAAAATACAGTCAATTCTCCCTCTTTTTGTGTTTGTCCTTAACGTGCATACCCACTGTCCTTCCGTCATTTTCTAAGGATGCCAAATCCAAAATATGTTTATTTATACCCATCGTCTCCCTGCCCTCCAAACACCCCATTGTGTTAACCAGAGGTAATCTCTCAGACAACCAAATCATTTCCTCACGAGCGAGACACCATGTCTGGACCTCTATCTCCAAAACCAGTGTCCGGTTCGTTGAAGAAGAAAGCAATGAATGCCTCTGCCAAGTTGAAAAATTCTTTGTCAAGAAGGGGTAGAAGAAGCAGTAAAGTCATCGCTGTGGAAATCGGTGATGTGCACGACCCGGAGGAGTTGCTGGCTGTTGAGGCCTTCCGTCAGGCACTCATATTGGAGGAGCTTCTTCTTTCCAGGCACGATGATTATCACACAATGCTTAGATTCTTGAAGGCTAGGAAATTCGATATCGAGAAAACCAAGCAAATGTGGGCAGACATGCTCCAGTGGAGGAAGGCATTTGGTGCTGACACAGTTATGAAGGATTTTGAATTCAAGGAACTCAATGAAGTCCTGGAATATTATCCCCAAGGACATCATGGAGTGGACAAAGATGGAAGACCTGTGTACATTGAGAGACTAGGCAAAGTAGATCCCACCAAGCTAATGCAAGTCACAACCATGGACCGGTACGTGAAATACCATGTCCGAGAGTTTGAAAGAACATTTGATGTCAAGTTCCCAGCTTGCTCAATTGCAGCAAAGAAGCACATTGATCAAAGTACAACCATCATGGATGTGCAAGGGGTGGGACTTAAAAATTTCAACAAAGCTGCCAGGGAGCTTATCACACGGCTTCAGAAGATTGATGGTGACAATTATCCTGAGACCTTGAACCGCATGTTTATTATCAATGCTGGTGCTGGTTTTCGAATGTTGTGGAGCACCGTGAAGTCCTTCCTTGATCCCAAGACATCAGCGAAGATTCATGTCCTTGGCAATAAGTACCAGAGCGATTTGCTTGATATAATTGATGCTAGTGAGTTGCCAGAGTTTTTAGGAGGCACATGTACTTGTGCCGATCAAGGAGGCTGTATGCGTTCTGATAAGGGACCATGGAAGGACCAGGAGATATTGAAGATGGTCCAAAATGGTGATCATAAGTGTTCAAGGAAACTTGGAACTCAAGTCACTGAAGAGAAGGGAGGTGATCAAGCTCCCGTGCACCAAATTAAGCACACTCAACCTTCACCAATCATATCCGTGACCAAAAGTTGCCTAGAATCTTACAAGTACGAGGACTCTGCCTCAATGGTTGATAAAACTGTGGGTTCAACTAGGCGAATGGTGGTGCGGAACGGCGAGTTTGACAAATTTGCCTTCTCCGAACCAGCAGATTGTGTCGCCAAATCTGATGCTAGCGAATCTCCTGATGGGTTGGGCTTTCGGATTTTGAGTGGTGTTATGGCATTTATTATTGGTATTAGCAACATGCCAAAGAAGCTCACTGATTCTACCTTCTACTCCAGCGCCTTTCACTGTGATGATGATGACACAATGTGCAAACGCCAGGCGCCTTCACAGCCTGACAATATCTTTGATGCAGATTTCAAGTCTTTCATGAAGCGCATGGCTGAAGTGGAAGAGAAAGTTAGCGCTTTGAGCACGAAACAAGCAAACATGCGACCTGAGAAGGAGAAAATGCTGAATGATACTTTGGGCAGGGTTGATGTTTTGGAGCAAGAGCTAATGGCAACAAAGAAGGCTTTGGAGGAGTCACTTTCCCGACAAGAAGAGCTCTTGGCACATCTTGACAAGAAGAAGAAGAAGAAATGTTTCCACTGGTGAAGGGAGAAAAGATGCTTATGATTTGGGGAGATTCACTATTGTATCCAATATAGGAGCCCAAATTATAAAAAAATTCTATATGTAATGAACTTTAGAAATACACCCAAAATCCATTTACAACATAACAAAAAGACTTTTAACTTCTTTTAAATTACAAAACTGCCATTGATTTTTTAAAACAAACCCAATTCCAAAACCTCATAAAAAAGCTCAAGACACTCAATAGGGCATCAAAGTAATTTAATAATCAAAATTAAATTTAATAGCTATCATTTTTTGGGTTTTTTAATGGGTTTGTTTATAGAAATTAAATGGTGTAGGGTTTACTTATAGTTTTAGTGCTAAGAATGCGTATATGACTAAATATCTGTATGAGGATTTATGTTTCTCAGATGCGACCTAAATGCAGCCTCACTTATTGTCCCAATTACCACATGTATATAATTGTACAAATTTAACCTTCATAGATAGAATTGTGCATAATATGGCCAAGATTATCGAGTATCTTTTACTTTTGATTTGATTGGAGTTGAGTTATCAAAAGTTCGAGTTATTTGAGTTCAGCCAACCTAACTACATCTAATAATTCAAAATGCTTTTGGCAGGCAAAGATGGAAATGGAAAAGCTTTCTTTAATAGGGACCAAACTTGTCAAAAAGTGTGCAGTATGCTAGATTCTGAAAAAACACTTGCCTAAGTGGTTGGAAGTTTCTTTCATAAAGTTCCACATTAGCGGCCCTCTCTTTTATCTGCATCTTCTCAGCAGCCAAGCAAACGATTTTGACAAGTTAGGCCTTAGTTATTCTCTCTTTTTGCAGAGAAAAGAGTTCCAGATTGATTTTGCTTAAAGCATTAAGACGAGTTTTCTGAAATTAGTCTTTTAAGAACTTAGCAATTGTTTTATAAGGTTACATACATTGACAAGGTTTTAGCATTTCTAACAACGAAATACAGAATAAGTAACCTAGTGAGGCTCATAAGACCCAGAACCAGCCGAGAACCGAACCACTGACCAACCCAACTCCGAGGAACACAACCATTACAATGGCAGATAGCTCTGCTTCTGAAACTGGTACAGTTTTTGGAACTATCATCATGATAACACTTGTCAGATACCCATTGGTCAGTCCAAGCAAAAATGTGAGAACAACCATTGGAATTTCAGTTTTCAGCCATATTGGTCCATGGAGGCAAGCAGTGAAGATTGGATAAAATAGGAGTCTGGTAATGCAAGCCCATGTTGCCTTTTTGATACTCTTTAGAAGATAAACCGCAGTCAAAGACTTACCCACTAAATCTGCAATGTTGTACACTGTGATCAGCAAAATAGGGTACCAATCTTGAAGAAGCTTGGATTCCAGATTTTCAGCTATGAATCCTGGGAAAATTGACAGAGTCACAGTATAGATTATGAAAATCCCAAAAGCTGGCCCCGGGACTTTTCGCGCCACAGCCCAAAATTTCGGTCTTGAGCAGAATGATTCATCTTGAACAAGTTTACAATGTTCCTGCATGACTGTTAACCTGTACAGCAAGTTGCAACCAATGATGCAGCATAGGAGGAATACGGTGCTGACCATAAAATACAAGTGGGCGCTTGTTCTAAGACCTTTTGGGGTCTGTGGAAGCATTGCCTTGGTTGAAATTCTCAAAAGAGAAATTATAACACCTGCCAACAAGCAGAGGATTTGTTAACAAATGAAAATGGGGTTACTTGTAGCTTTGCTTTTATCTTTCATGCATCTATGTGTACAGCATATACACTTCTTCTACTATTGGCAGGCAAAAAGTGCCCAAATTAAATATTCAGTTTGCTGGATTGAAAAAGCAAAGCAGGAACTCAAAGTGCAATTTTCTATACATGGAATTGGTACCTGAAGAAGCAGTTCCAGCAAAAACAGCTTGCATGTACTTTTTTGGAAGCTTTCCCGCGGATCCCATCAGGCTTCCTCCAACCAAGCCATCAGCTAAGCCACACACTACAACTGATGCAACTGTCACACCATATCCTGCATTGGCTCTCCCACTACTTGACCCAGTTGTACTATACCAAAACCAGTCTGTTACAGGAGACACCATTAAAGAGAGAATAAAAAGAGAAAATCCCAAGTTGAGTCTCAGCCTAGGGCTCATCTTCTCCCACCAGCTCCCCCAGCTCATCATCACAACAAGTACTACCACTGACGAACTCATGTAAGCAACAGAGAAGACCTTCTCAACATGCTTGGTTGGATAGAGATGGCCAAAGTAATCAACCGCTGTGATAAATGCATTCCAAGGAAGCAAATTGCCTGCTCCCAGCAAGAAATGAATAATGTAAGCGATTTTGTATGCATCTCTTGGCTCAGCTTGATACTCAAGACCCTTCATTCCACCTTCCATGTTTTGAGTTCTTGATGGCCTATCAACCTTTGGTTGGAACTTATTAAAGCAAGCATTTTAAGCGGTAAGTGAGCATAGTGAAGTGATTTTTGACAAGAAAGGAATCTCCAACTCCTAGCTTGATTGATCCCAAGCTCTGGCTACATAATTGGGCAGGGCTAGGCTTCCTAATATACAGCTCTGGCTTATTACTAATTAGGTTTCTGTAAATCACGGTTTGACATATATGCAAAAAATAATTAATCAAAAACACAAAAAAAGGAAAAACTTATACACAAATGTCATTCTGTCATTGTCAAGAATGTATGAGTTTCTACTTACAAGAGGAAGGAGGGAAGTATTTTTCATTAATTATTATCCCGTCTTTAGCAACTAGTAGTTTAACAACACAATACAAGCCCATTTGAACAAACTAAGCCGGAGCCTGGAGACTGGAGCCAGTTTGGTAGCTGACGGCTCTATTTACTTGCTTGCTTCATGGATTTGATTGATGGGTCCAGAATCAGCATCAAATGAGGCTCATTGATGTAGAAAAATTATGCTGAGTAGGGACATGAATGGTTGGTGGGTGATATTACAAGTACATTCAAATAACCGGCTGGCTGGCTGGCATGCATTGTATGCGCCCTGCATACTCTTGTAGCAGCACTAAAGATTTCCAGAATTCTGTTCCTCCCTTTGAACTTCCACAACTTGTAAAAAAAGCCTCCCCATACCCAACAGTGAATATAATCAAGAGATGCAATCATGACAGATTGTTAATCATGCGCAGGTTTAGTGTTTAGTTTTCAAAGTTGTGAGTCTTGTCATTAAGTTGTGAGTCTTGTCAATACTTTGGTAAAGTAGGCTAAAGGGCAATTCACTGGAGGAGAGCCAAAACCGGTTTCTGTCGTCAAGACTGATGGGCCTGCCTATATTTTTGGTCTGGCCACAATTATTTGATTGGAAAGATTTTGATTAGCCATCTGGGAACTTGATTCTCTTCCTTTCTTCTTTACTGTCAGGAATTAATTTTTTCATTGATGCTTCTGTACAGCTTAGAGGCACAAGCACTACACATATATGCAGGTCGTACGTAGTTGATGGAGCAGTAGCACTAGCGGCACTACATAAAAAGAACATATAAGATGATGGTGTGCCATGGCAACTGGCAAAAGTTTATATTGCACAGCTTACAGCGTATGATTCTCTTTGCTTGGTAACAATAATCAGTAATGATAGATGTTGATGCTCTTTTTGGGAGAGGGTCAACTTAGGTAAAGACTTGGGTCTTCAGCAGTTTAGGTGGCTAGGACCTTCAGTATCTAGATACCCTGCAAAAGACAAAGAGGAAGAAACAGTCGTTAAGCTTCGGACACCGGTGTGGTGCCGGCCGAAGGCTCTCCGATGCTTAAGTCAGCTGTAAGTGGTAATTTTGACAGAGTTAGCGTCTAAAAATTTACTTATCAAATGCTGAATTGAAGATCTCACTCACCCTTCTAACTTTTTCAGAAAGTGAAAGAGAAGGGAGTGCAGTGGTGTACCATTAAAGAGTATGAGCTATATGCCAATAATGTAACACTTGAAAAGGAAAGCTCTTGGCCTCAGATTTACCAAAAAGAAAGGATTCTTTTTGGCCTATTTAGATGGCTGCGGTTACTTCCATAAGTTTATATTTATCTAATAGGTAGTAGGAACAATGATACATACAACTTTTTTATTATTATTTTTCTTCAAAAAAGAACATTTTCCCAATATTCTTGTTGCACACCACAATCATTTATCCAACATATTGCTGAGATGGATTAGCAATTAAAATAGACATGAACACACATATGAGCTTCATTCAATCAAGCTCCACAAGCCAACCCTAAACATTTTGTCTTTTCAATTTATAAACCTAAATAGACCCCATTTTGAAACACGATTTTTTCCGAGTTTGAAGAATAACATTGAAATATAGGATGAAAAAACGAGGAAAATCAAAATTTGTGATGAGAAAGATAGAAAGAAAAATGTATGAAATATGAGATATATAAGTTTGTTCTTTCTTTCCAAATTTACAGATTTTTTATCTATATATATAAAGCAAAAGGCAGAGAACATTCAAAATATCAGAAAATGCCCTTGGTTAATGCAAACATTAAGAATTGAAATTATTAATTAAATGAGGATAATATGGTAAATTCATACTTTTTCATATCAAAAATATTTTAAATTAAAAGAAAAATCAGATAATATATCCTTTTTTGATGGAACACAACTACCCATTATCTTTTTTAATTTAAAAATAATTTTAAATTTTTTTAAAAAAGACCTCTCGCAGGCGCGGAAGTGCGTGCGTGGAGAGGCTAGTATAAGGCATTGTCTGGGATTGCTTTTTTTGGCCAAAAACCTGCTTCATTTTAAAGTTAAGCAGTTTAAGGTGTTTGGTAAAAAGAAAATATCCCGATTATTTTAAAAGCAATGACCTTTTGACAACAGCTTTTAAAAGCAGGCTCTGGGTTGATTTTCAAAGTTGCTTTCAAAATAAGCAGAGATGAACATTTAATGAATTTTTTTAATTCCCAAAATACCATCATTCAATTTAAAAAATGACACCACGTCCACGTCCACATCCAACTCCACCACTTGCACCACCACATTCACTACCTCCACAACCACTGCCTCCACCACCACCACCACATCCTCCTCCTCCTCCTCCTCCTCCACCACCACCACCACAACCACCACCTCCTCC